AGTTTGGTGAGTCAGTACATACATGATTCTCGTGAGCCTCATTTATATATTGTTTTTAGCATATTATGATACTTAAAATCTACAGTAGAAAAATGTCTACTTTTTTCTAAAAATATCCACTTTAAGATAGAAATATTTACATATGTTGATTGAGTTGGATATCCGAATAATAGAAAGTCAACTATCAGTTACTGCACACTCGTAGGAGGCACCTTAGTTACATAGAAAAAAAGAAGTAAAGTGTAGTTGTCCGCGCCAATGATGAAGCAAAATACCATCTCTAGAGAAAAAGATATAAGTATTTCTGAAGCAGTAACTAGAGCCACTGATTCGATTAACAAGATACCATCTCTCTAAAAGTGGTGTTTATCATCGATGTAGCCAGAGGAATACTTGATATATGGTAACAACTTGAAAGACAATAGATTCACGCACAAACTCCTTTGCAAGTCCTCATTGAAAAGCAGTAAACGTTCATTTCGGCATTTCACACAACAGTGGTAAAATGCATACATCTTCACTTTCCAATCTTGATTTGTCTTTGCTCCTTCAAACAAAAAACATAATGTTTTCTAGATCAGCATGCACCTTATAGAACTTCTCATCAAAAGATTCCTCTGCAGACAATGAAGACATAGTCAATGTGGAAGAAGATGATATAGCAGAAGGTGGAGACTGCTTCTCTATAACTGCTTCATGATACAGCCGCCCCCTGTAAGCAACAAGATCTGCATAGTACACTGGAGGTATCAAGGATACAGATTTAGTGCATCGGGCAAATGTGAAGCACATGTCATAAATGAGCTTCTGCAACTGATCAGAAGAAAATCCATTCTCATCCCACAACACATGGTAGTGTGTAGGCTTGCTTGTCCCAATACTCCCATAGTGACTACAAAGATAAAAGTCGAACTCAAAAGGGTGAATGATTTTTGTATCCACAACAGTACCAGGAGGTATATTACCGGTAAGACCCCCATCTTTCTCACTCTCTGGAAAGAAACGAGTTTGATGACGCTTCTGTGCCACAACAATAGTTATATTTGGGAAATAACTGACTTTTTGAAATGCGTCTTTCATGTCAAGTAACTCTTCGTTAAGAACCATATCAAACTGCCCCTCACTCACCCCATCGCGGAAGACCACAACTTTTTTAGGTTTCACTCCTTTATTTAGCCGAGCATAAGTTTCAGCAAGATCCAGACACATACTCCCGTAATTAACAATCCTCTCTTCACGATGGTTTTGAGCACGAATCCTTGCTGCGTATTGGTTAGCTGCTGGCCAATTTATAGTGGCAACTACAGCTGCTATCGATGGACTTGTTGTGTTCCGTGCAGCAGGATGATTGACGTCAGCTCCCACGAACATAACATGGTCTTCTCTTTTGAAATGAGCAAGGGCATCAACCAACTCTACGTTACTACCTCCAAGCTTAGCATTGATCTTAAGAGCAAGATTAGCAAGATACTGATCATTCACTTTGTTGGCACTAGTGGACAAACAACATTGTGTCACCACACCAGTTCTCGTCTCAGAGATCCACTTGAGATACTTGTAGCCAGGATCCTTTCTCGACATCACACAGAGAATGAATTGTACATGACCTCCACCACAGTAGTAAGCTCCACTAATAACACTTTCAAGCAATTCATAAAGATCATCAGTGTTAGACAATTTATCCATTCCAGTGCATTGATATAAAACAGGTTCTTTCATATGCATCCCTAGAGTCCTGCAGCGATTAATAAGCTTCGGAATAACTAGGTCAGCATTCAACCTACATCGATCAGATGAGCTAAAGTCAAGTACAGCCCATCTCTCAACAGGTTTTCCTTCCACTACTCCTTTGCCAAGAAGATTCCACTGGCATCTCTTCCTGTCAACTGTTACCTTAATCAGTCGACCATCAGGAGCACCTAACTTCAAGTCGGGAGGCCGGATAATTCGTCCAATAACTGATGTCATATTCACATCAACCTCAATTCCAAAATTTCGGATGCCATATCCACTGCCAATATAAAAATTCTCCAATTTGTTAAAATTCCATCCATAAAATATCAGATTATTCAAAATTCAAACTGAAGTAATTTAATTAATCAGTTGGTTCACAGGATTTACATGGAGAATGTTCGCAACAAAACCTAA